CATTAGAACTTGGACCCTGGGTTTCTATAATGACTAACAACTACTGAAAATGATCAGGTCTATGTATACCTAGCCTGACTGATTGTTGCCCAGGAAATGAACTAGAAATGGTGGGTTGCTTCTCCCTCTAAGAAGATCAAGAAGACAAGCAGCTCAGCCATTCCTAAGTCATTATGGCACACTTAGAAATGTAGTTGAGAAACCCATTTGACCCCCCAACTCTTGGTCTTTTCTTTTTGTAGCTTGAAAAAATCATTTTTATTTTCCAATTCAAACATTTTTTATAGAGTTATCTTTGAAATATATACAAGGTTTTGTGTGTGTGTGTGTGTGTGTGTGTGTGTGTGTGTGTGTGTGTGTATGTGTGATTAGTTTGATTAAACATTTTTGCTTTAATTTTTGTTGGTGGTGTTCTTTAAATTCAGGGCCTTATTCTCCTTTTTCTCCACTAAGGCTTTAGAGAAATGTCACTGGTAGCCTTAGCCATCTTGAAAAGAATAATGTCAGAGTTCTGATTCTGCTGTATAACATATGTTCACAACAGTACACCCTCAAGCCTTCTGGAAGACTTTGTGACAGAAGTTGGGTGTGAACAGGTTGTAAACCAAAGGTCACTGCTTAATTTTTTGTTGATAATGCTTACTTAAGCTAAAGTGACTTGTGTTTTCATCCAGGTCTTTGAAGCCCATCAGGATAAACCTTCTGCTACCTTTGTGTAGCCAGAACCCATTTCTTGGAGGGGAAAAGATTTATCCAAGGCTATTGTCTCTTTTGAGTAGGCTGCCTAGAGTCCTGACCTGGTTTATTTATATATCCTGACCTTCCAGACTTGAAAGCTGTGCAGGATTCAATGAGAAACTGAGTTCCTTTCCAATAGGTTCCTAGCTGGCCCTATGCCAACCTAGATGCCTCCATCATCAGAGCTTTCTAGGGACATCTGAGAGGCCACAGTTACCATCTGAGAAAGGTAACTTGCCAGATACCTCACCAGCTCTAAGTACAAAGTCCCTTCCAGTTGTTCCTAATCCCCAGTCAATCCTTTCAGAGCCAGTGGGGATCTTCCTAGGAACACTATTGCAATCCCAGCCCCGACAAAGCATCTCTAATCTCATTTTTTGCCTTGCTTGGTTTTCAGTCTAGCTTGCTGTATGTCTCAATTGAGATATTTCTCATTTCTGCTTATTTTTCTTCTGAAAAAAAAAATGAATGACCTCAGATGTGAGATGAGACTAAGATTTTTCTGTATTTGAGAGAGATGTTGATACTTCTTCCAGAAAATTTCTTTGGTTGCTTAATATTCTTCATGTGGATGCCATAGGCAAACCAGCTGTATTAGCTAGAGTTTCTGTAATAAAGTTCTGTGGACTAGGTAGCTTACACATATGAAGTGTTTTGTCCTGTTTCTGACACAACTCTAAAGGCTGGACATCTTGGTGTGTAGATAGCCATCTTTGCCTTGTTCTTCACATCGTCTTTCTTCTGCATGTGTCTGCCTCCAATTCTTTCCCCTTTATCAAGACACCAGTCCCAGCAGAGTGAGGCCCACCATAATGACCTCATTTTAACTTGATTACCTCGGATACACACCCTAGCTCCATAAACAGTCACATTCTGAAGGTACTAGGGGTTAGGATTACAATATATTCTTTCTGAGTAAATGACAAAGAAGATAATTCTGCCCCAAAATGTTAGCTCTCTGGGCCTCAGCATAGATGGAATCATTTCTATCTCAGATATATGAAGCCCATTTCATTCTTAAGGACCCTGGGGTCATTTTGAGTGCCTACTTCAGAAAAAAAGGACAATGTTTTTACCCTCAAGGACCAAAAATAGGTTTGGAAAGTGACTTGAGGGAAACTGCAGAAGTTCAGAAAGAGTACAAAGAAGCAGCTCTGAGTAAATGCAAATGGGAAGAATTTAGTCCAAGGACAGCACAAGGAAGGGCCTGGGATCAGGAAGATGATGGGCAATATTAGGTCAATTGTGAGCATTTTGGGAAATCAAAAAACAGGGGCTCTGTTCTATTCCATAACACTGAGCTTTCCAAAGAATGAATACAGAATGAATTCAAATGTGATCTCTTCAGATTGCAAATGCTTTGCCCACATTTAAAGGAACTCTCTGAACAGCTATTGGGCATTTGTGGGCTCTTTGTTCAGGTGGATGGATTTGGTTTGATTAGAACAGTTGATGCAGTGTCTACCCACTAAGAAACAGCCCAGGAAGGTTCTCAGCAGAGCCTGCTGCTTCCTCTCTGTACTTGCCTTATGTCTGGACTGTTCCCACAGAGCAGAGGTGGCTGTCCATCTCCCCCTAATGATACAGGAAACCAGCTCTCCTAGCTGCCTCTTTCTGCTTCCTTGGAGAAAATTGCCTTTGTCTGTGATGTAAGTTTACATTGTTGTTAGATCATTAATGCCCATGTAATAAGACTCAAATCACAGAAGCAGAGACATGGAAATCTGTTCTTGTTTACTTCAAACGAATTTAAAAATCAATTGAAAACATTTCTCCTAATCATGCTGTATAGTTGTTGAAATGATGGCTTTTCCCTACTAACCCACAACAATGTTGAGCCCTTCTCCTTGGCAGGAGTGTGGTTTAAATTGAGAAACTAAGCAGTCCTCAGGAACAGCTGAGCCCCAACTATAATGGCTCTCTGGATTTTGTTGCTTTGCCCTCTGGGAGAAACTAATTCAAAAACTCGTATTCTCTTGGGGATAAGACTGAATTTTCCCTGTTGTCTTTACTTCTCTCCTGTTGTGGCCATTTATTATAGCAGAAAGAGAGCACAGCCCCTATACCCTACATGGCACCATAAAAACCAAACCATCAGGTATAGACTTTCAATGCCAAAGAGATGGTTTTGGATGGGGAGCCAGGGGTTATCTCTGGAAACGTGTCAGTTTTAATGTGTCTTAGCATCTGGCAGGGACCAGAGTGTTCCTTGCATTCTTCACCCCCAAAACACACACTTGTGTATACATCAGGAGAAGACTTAGGCCACAGCAAGTTTGTGGTAATATAGGTCCAACCATGTAGCTGATGTGGCCTCTGTGTGCTCAATCTCACTCCCCAAGGAGCCATGGCAAAAGGCAGGTGGCAGAGGAGAAGTGATAGAGACTGAGGTAGACAGGTATTCCTAGACATCATGGTCCTTTACAGGTTGTTGTGGCACAAAGCCGGGGGAAATGTGTTCCTTCTCCTAGTTTCGACTTAGCTTTAATATTGACCAAAGTCATAGTTACTTTTCTATTTCTGTGATAAAACACCATGACCAAGGAAACTTATAGAAAAAAAAATTTTAATTAGGCTTATGGCTCCAGAGGACTAGAGTTTATGATGGCAGAGTGAGGTCTTGGAGGTAAATGGCTGGAGCAGCTGCAGAGAGTTCACATCTTGATCCACAAGCAGGAGACAAGAATATGAACTAAAAATGGCACACATTTTTTAATACCTCAAAACATGCTTCATCTAGCAAGGCCATGCTTCCTAATACTCCCCTAAACAACCACCAACTGGACCCCAAGTATTCAAATATGTGCTTCTGTGAAGGTGATTCTCATCCAAACCACCACAGCCAGGCTTCCTTCAGGTACAGCCCACTACTGTCTTTTCTTTTTTATTAGTGTACATCCTTTGTACAAAATAGTGTATTTTACTATGATATCTACAAGCATACATCATTAACTGTGGTTATATTAACTCTCCTCCATTATTTTTTGTGGTGGTATTGTGTTCCCCCAAATATTGTTTACCCTACTAAACTTATCTGGGGTCAGAGAACAGAAAAGCCACTAGATACTTAGGATAGGCAGTGGTAGCACACACCTTTAATCCTAGCATTCCAGAGGCAGAAATCCATCTGTTCAAGGATACAGATAAGCATGGTGACTCACGCCTTTAATCCCAGAAAGCAAGCCTTTAATCCCAGGGAGTGAAGGCAGATAGCAGAAGGGTATATAAGGCATGAAGACCAGGAGCTAGAAGCATTTGGCTGGTTAACCTTTTAGGTTTTGAGCAGCACAGTTCAGCTGAGAGCCATTTGGATATTAGGACAAAGAGGCTTCCAGTCTGAGGAAACAGGACCAGCTGAGGAACTGGTGAGGTGAGGTAGCTGTGGCTTGTTCTGTCTCTCTGATCTTCCAGTGTTCACCCCAATACTTGGTCTCAGGTTTGATTTTATTAATAAGACTCTTTAAGATTCCTGTTACATCTGGCACCCAACATTTGTGGTACAAATTCATGAAAAAGCTGCTTGCCTGTGGCCTTGTGGGCCCCAGCTCAGGCCTGAGCTAAACTTGGCAGGTTGTGGTGGCATATGCTGGTAGGATTTGCTGAAGGAGGCAAAGGCAGGAGGATCCTGGTTTGAGGCCAACCTAGGAGAAGCTTTGGCCAGGGCCGAGCCACAAACAGTGGTGGGACCATGGAGGGGATGGCTACTGCTCCACGTTGCCAGCTCCTTCTCATTGTGTTGGTGAGTGCGGTGATGCTGCTACCTGGGATGAAGGGTTTACTACTACTTGTTCAGAGAACAATTGCCAAGACCATCATGTTACAAGAAAGCATTGACAAAGGTCAGTTTGGAAAAGTTTGGCAAGACAAATGGTGGGGAGAAATTGCCTTGAAGGTTTTCTCTTCTATTGAAGAACTTCATGGTTCCAAGAAACAGACATTTATCAGACTGTGATTGCTCCAAACCACAGAGGAGGCAAAAAAAAAGTCTGAGGGAACCATGACCATGCCTAACAGTGACTTTGAAATCTTCAAAAGGATGATGGGACCCCACAACAATGATTCCACATGGACTATGGTAAAGCCATTAAGCTGATTAATGCCATGGAAAGATCGACTTTGGACTACAAACTGCTCAAGACAATTTTGAGATGGCTAGCTGAGATGATCCAGCCTGACAGACTACTTGAACAAGGACTTAAAGCAATCCCTGCACTTTCTAATTATAAAGTGACTGGACAAATGATACAGGACTTGAACATTAACCCCAAAATTTTCTTCTCAGGATCCTCTAAAGATGTCTTTGCCCCTAGAAAGCAAGAAGTAATTTTAAGAAAATGACACCCACATTCCCAAAAGGTGGAATGGGAAGTTTTTGGTTGTTTAATGAGTTATGGATATTGTCATTGTTTATGATGGTTGGTTACAAGTTGTTAATTGTTAATGGTCAGGAAAAAAGCTAAACAAGGAGACGAGATTCAGAGGTTTTGTTTAAAAAAAAGAAAGAAAAAGAAAAGAGAATATAGATATGAAGCAGATCATCGAATCTACACTGAGAAAATAAGATAAAGAATAATAGGATAAATGGGTAAATCATCAAATCTACTCTAAAAAAGAAAAAGGGGAAGATATAAAAATGACAAAAGGTAGATTACTGAATTTATTATAAAAAGAAAAATACTTTTAAAAAGGAATTACTTGTTTTACATAAGATAAGTAATGAATTTTTTTGTCTGAGTTTATCAAATGTTACTGGACTGGACATTGTTATATATTAATGGAATTTTTGTCTGAATCTGTCAAATGTTAATGGACTAGACATCGTTAACGTAATCTTGACTGTGTATATTGTATATACTTATTGGATATAGTTTTTCTTGTACTAGTTATAAGCTTTTTTAATTTTAGACAAAAAGAGAAGAAATGTGGTGGTATTGTGTTCCCCCAAATATTGTTTACCCTAATAAACTTATCTGGGGTCAGAGAACAGAAAAGCCACTAGATACTTAGGATAGGCAGTGGTAGCACACACCTTTTTTTTTTTTTTTTTTTTTTTTTTTGGTTTTTTTTTTTTTTTTGGTTTTTCGAGACAAGGTTTCTCTGTGTAGCTTTGCGCCTTTCCTGGAGCTCACTTGGTAGCCCAGGCTGGCCTC